CAGAGATACAGAAGATAATCCTGGAACCCTGAGCTCTGAAAGGAACTATACAGAAGTGGATTAGGCACCAACTAGTGGCAAAACCTGAATGAAAACAGTGAGTACAGAGACAGTCGGAGCTGCAGACCATCAGCTACTCTGATGAGACCAACAGCATAAATATTTCCAAGTGGTGCTGGTACCTGAGAATTGACCTAACATCAGTCCCAGTCACCAAGGGCTGCAGGGACAAATGCTCTGGTGGCCTATGACTAGGAAGGGAAACAGCAAAGAGGGCAACAACCTGACCTGTTGACTTTCTGCTATCCGGAGAGCACAGCCATTTTATTGTTTACATGTGGCAGCCATTCTGGATATTTAAAGTGACTGAGGGCACAACCATTTTGAATGTTTACAAGCAGCAGCCATTTTGGATATTTAAAGTGACTGAGGGTACAGCCATTTTGAATGTTTGCAAGCAGTGGCCATTTTGGATATTTAAAGTGACCAAGGGTGCAACCATTTTGAATGTTTACAAGTGGCAACCATTTTGGATTTTAAAGTGATAGCATTCTCATTTGGATTCCAGGGATTTAAGAACAGGCTCTGTTTGCCAGGGTCAGCAAGGACATACAAGAGGCTGACAAAGGAAAGGAGATAGGTGGTGAGTGTATAATTGTTGTCAACTAGTGAATAGAGGAGCCCAGCCAGTACCCTACCTATATAGATAACATACAAACAAAACAAAGAAAACAAAAATTGTGGGCAAGCCACTCCAACATATAATCACCAATTAAATATAAACACAAAAACGTCACAATGCCTCGGAGACAACAGAGCATCATAGTCCACACAAAGAAGCAAGATAAAGCAGGAGAAATGAGGGACCAGGATATGGACCCAAAACACATCCCTGAGGAAGACACAGCATTGGAACTCCCCGATGAGGAATTCAAAAGAATTATATATAGATATCTTTGTTGAATTGAGAGACAGATCAAGGAAACCACAGAGAAAACCCTAGAACAATTTTGAAAGACAACACAAGAACAAAATGACAAAATAAATGAAAAATTAGAAATGATTCTAAATCTACAGATAGAAATCCAGAAGATTAATAATAAGTTGTCAGAAATAGATAACACATTGAAAGGGCAAAGGAGTGGAATTGATACAATGGAAGACAGAATTAATAAGATTGAAGACAAATACCTGAATATTTCTTTGGAAAGGGATCAATCAGAAAAAAGATCAAAACAAAATGAAGAAAGCCTAGGGTTCATGTGGGATGCCATCAAAAGGAGTAATCTACGTGTCATTGGAATTCCAGAATAGGAAGAGAAAAATGAAACCACTGAGGAAATTGTCCAAGATTTGTTGAAGGAGAACTTCCCTGATACGATGAAAGATGAGAATATATCCATTCAGGAAGTCCAACAAACCCTAAACAGGATAGACCCCAAAAGAAAATCACCAAGACATATCATCATCAAACTCACCAAAACCAAAGACAAAGAAAGAATCATGAGAGCAGCATGGGAAAAACGACAAATCTTCACATCAAAATAAAAAAGAGGACCAGCATAAATATTCAGTAAATACTAAAACAATAGAAGGAAGTGATAACATGATTCATAAGCAAAACGAGATCAGCATAGAAAATTATATGGGACAAAAAAGTCCATGGGCATTGCTTGTGACAAAAAAAAAGATTTGAGGAAGACTCATTAACAACCTATGATATGCAGATGACACAACTTTCCTTGCTGACGAAGAAGACTGGAAGCACTTACAGATGAAGATCAAAGATTACAGCCTTCAGTATGGATTATATCTCAACATAAAGAAACAAAAATCCTCAAAATTGGTCCAATAAGCATCTCACCATGAATGGAGAAAGTATTGAATTTGTCAAGGATTTCATTTTACTTAGATCACAAGCAATGCCCATGGAAGCAGGAGCCAAGAAATCAAATGCCTGACAAAGTGCCAAAATCCATTAAATGGGGAAGATGTAGTCTCTTCAACAAATATTGCTGTCAAAACTGCATGGTTTAAAATAAGGAAAGGAGTGTGTCAGGTTATCTATTTGCAGAAAAATAAAATAAGATCCATACCACACACCATACACAAAAACTAACTCCAGATGGATCAAAGACTTAAATGTGAAACCTAAAAGTGTAGAGTTCCTCAAGGAAAAAATAGGGGACAAATTTAGGGGCCCTAATTTATGGCATAAATGGACTCTCAAGCATAACTCAAAGTGCACAAACAACAGAAGATAAACTAGATGATTGGGACATTCCAAAAATTAAATTTTTATGTGCTTCAAAAGACTTCTTCAAAAGAGTAAAAAGAAAACTTACAGATTGGGGGAAAATATTTGGCAATGACATACCTGACAAGGGACTTTTAAATTTTATAGATTTAACACCTCAACAGCAAAAAGTCAAACTATCCAGTTAAAAAATGGTCAGAAGACATAAATAGACACTTCAGTAAAGAAGATATCTGTGACTATCATCATCAACATTGTCAGAGTCACCAGGCACTGGAATGTTGTAAGTGCCAAGCACTCTGACATGTGTGGCTGTGTCTCCTCCTTTAAGTCATTCACTCTGCAGGATCAGGTATCATCATCCCAGACAGGCCCAGCTTGCTGACGAGCAGACTGAGGCACACAGAGGTCACAGAGCTGGTAATGAACCATACTCAAACTCAGGATCCAGACCCAACCTTAGTCTAAAGCCTATATTTCTTCAACTGAGCCCTGCTGTCTCATTAAACAACTAATATTGGAAAGAATCTAAATGCCCAGAAACGTAGGGATCTTTAGGTAACATGTGGTGCATTGATTCACAGGGAGAATAGATAGCCATTAGAAAAAGGGGAAAATAGTTTAATCTGCAGCAATATGGTTTTGGCCAGGCCCAGCAGGAAGTATATCAGCGTGTAGATGGGATAATAATTGGAACTCCACACCCATGTGGCGATGTGGGCAGGCTTCAGCGTTGGATCTGGTTTCCTGGAAGGAAGAGATGAGGCATGTAGCCCGGACTATCCCAGTTTGTCCCCAGAGGTGCCTTCCTTTCTGAGTTTCTGAATAAAGCCCACTGCTCTTAGGGATTGCCAATCCTCCTTTACTGGTTTGGGTCAAGCATGGAAATAATACACTTCCTGTCTGTGCCAAAGCACAGCTGGCTTCACAGGTAGAACTGATGAGGTATTTTCTCCCATTTCCACCCCTCAATCTAGTGGATCAGAAAGGCAACTACACAGATGATTACCAGCCACCAGGCCAGGTGTCTTGGTAGGGAGGGAAGATTGTCCAGAGGAAATTCAGAAGGGAGTTTCCCAGGAGGAGGGGTTATTTGAGTTGGGTATTGAATGGTAAATAGGAACTCACCATGCAGCCAAAACTAGAATTTAATGGGCAAGACATGTAACAACGGTCCAAGTGAGTAGGAAAGCAGGGGCAGAGGACAAGCCAGGCTAAAGGAACTGTGATCACTGGTGTAACAGGAGGAGTGTACACACACATACACTCATACAATAACACAAACACAATCACAGGTGCAATTCAAAAACTAGGGACCACAGGGACCATGTATTTTAATCAGAATTTGTACTCAGAATTGTTCCTCCAGAATCCAGAATGGCCACTTTTAGTGAGCACTGCAAAGAACTCTAGTGGTGTAGTGGTTAAGGCTTGCTAACCAAAAGTTGGTGGTTCGAACCCACTAACTACTCTGTGGAGGAAAAATGCTTCCATAAAGTTTTACAGCCTTGGAAACCCACAGGGGTTCACTATGAGTCAGAATCAACTTGATGGCAGTGAGTTTGATTTTTTTGGAATGACCACTGTAACAGTACACTTGACACTGGCTGGGGAGATGAGAGGGGCTTTCCTTGGGACAAAGGAGAGAGAAGGAGAAGAAACAAGGAGTGGAGAGGGAGGAGACATGTGAGGGCAGTCATCCCTGTGAAGGGTAGCACCAACAATGGCAGAGCACTAGTCAAGGGTCTGCTGGGGAAATGAGGGAGCCTGCAAGGCAGAGGTGCTCCTAGGCACTCAGAAAAGACCCTACCAGGGAGTCTCCAACAAATCATAGCAAACAGCTGGAGCAGAAGGCCTTGCAGTCGCATCCCATCCTGCCCAGTATTTTTGCCCCAGGAGCTGGTCCCAGGGAAGCATCAGGGTGGCTTTGGGGGATCTGGACAGAGAGACAAGACACCTCCAGAGGAGGCTTCATAGATACCATGGAGAAGCTTGAGATAGAGCCACCCCTCCAGGCCTGAATAACAAGAGTCCTGCTTATGTGAGTGCCACAATGACAGGGGATTGTATCTGTTTCTTATTTCACTGTTTTATCCCTAGTGCCTGGCACAGAGCACCGGTTGTTAAGTTGACTCTGATTCTTGGCGACCCTATGTGTATCAGAGTAGAACTATGCTCTATAGGGTTTTCAATTGCTGGTTTTTCAGAAGTGATCACCAGGCCATTCTTCCAAGGGCCTCTGGGTGGACTTGACCCTCCAGCCATTCAATTAGCAGCTGAATATGTTAACCATTTGCACTACCCAGGAATTCCTGGCACATGGTAGGTACTTCATAAATATTTGCTGTGTGAATAAATTAATGAATTCTTGAATGACTGAATGAAGTGGTGGATGGATGGATGGATGGATGGATGGATGGATGGATGAACATAGCTGGAAAGTAAATAATAACATGGGATCCCAGAGACAGAGCAGAAGCTAACCAGGCAGGCAGGCAGGCTGTGTATCTGCTCAAGGTGGGTAAACTCAACTGCTGCTGCTCCTGCAGTGCTGATGTTTGCTGTTTCCTTGACTGTAGCCTACAGGCACAGATCACCAAATGTCCCTCCAGACTCCAGGAGTGAGGAGGCCAAGTGTGCTGGTCTGAGCTCCTGTGCATTGGTCACAGGGCAGCCAGGATGCTGCCGGCTCTCACATCCACTGTGTGTGTTCTTCGTTCCAGCCCGCTCCAAAAGCCTGGTGATGGGGGAGCAGAACCGGAGTCCAGTACGGTCACCTGGATCCCGCAGGCTGGGCCCTGTACTGAGGGCTGGCTGGCTGAAAAAGCAGAGGAGCATCATGAAGAACTGGCAGCCACGCTGGTTTGTGCTCCGTGGGGACCAGCTCTTCTACTACAAGGACAAAGAGGAGACCAAACCGCAGGTGATTAGTGTGGGCTCCAAGTGTGGCTGCATGATGCTTGGGGAGGGGAAAGCAGAGAGACCCTCACTTCAGGACCCCTGCTGCTCAAGCACTAGAGCCACTGATTCGAATCAGAATCACATTTCCACAGGATTTTCAAAGTAATTTTTATTCTCAGCTTCAATGTTTCTGGTATAACAGCTGGGTTTATTGAAACACATCCACACTTCTAGTGATAAAAATGCTCCCTTGTAAGTTTAGTAGAGAACATCACTGTAAAGCTTAATGAAACAAGGCTCCTCCGTGTTCTTTTCAACCCCGCTGTGCTTCCAAGGAGGACACATGTGCACCTATTGTGTTCATTCCTTCTTGAGGTAAAGTGGGTACCCAGACAAAGCTGTCCTCTAGCTGGGGACATCATGAGGGGGACAGAGGAGGGCACTTGTTCCCAGGCACAAGTCCAAAAGGGTGCCAGATGAGGTGCAGAATGACATTCCAAGGCACTACAAATATGAAAGGCACTTGACTGAGACAGCCAGATAAGAGGGGGAAAGGGATTTCTACTGATGTGCCCCTACTAACATCTATTCATCTTGAAATTGGGAGGGAGAGCACAACTTAGAGATTGCCCCAGGTGCTCAACACCGTTGCTATGCCCCTGTTTCCATCTGAAATACTGGCTCACTGTAGAGCCCTCTGGCTAGTGCCCTTGCCTCTCAGTAGCTGCTTCTATTTCCCACCAGCATGTAAGATCTACCTTGAGTGCTGAAAATGTCTGCCTTATCTCCTTGATGGCAGTAAGTTTACTCACTCAGAGCTTTATCCCACCAGGGTGAGGCAAAGTCACTTCTGGACCATGTACACATTATATGAGATACTCAGCCTCCTGCTGTCCAGGACCACAGACTTGCAGACTAGGCAGTGCAGTTTTTGTCATGGGTTTCAGAGACAGCAAGGATATCTTGGAGGTGCCCACATTTCTCTCAGAGAAGTGGGGGAAAGGAGGTTAAATGACTTGTCCACAGAAACTTCCCAGTCATTTTTTGAGTCAGAAGGAGAAGAAATTCCTTGTTCAGGGTCAGGAATCACTGAGCCTGGGGTGTAGGAACCCTGGGCACATCTAGGCAGCTCCCACCAATGTGGCAGGTGCCCTGGGGTGGAGGACAGAAGAGGATCCTTAGTGATCAGCAAGTATGAGGGGGTACATGGCTGCAATGTGGAGAAACATGAACTTCAAAGCAAGAAAATGACCCTTTTCACTTTCCTTTGAATTCTTCTGAGTGCATTAAAGGTGAAGTCTCAATTCAGTACTAGCATATTTTTTACACTCACTTTGCCAATACTTGCTGTCCTTTCTTTTGAACAAACGGGGAGAGGGGTAGGTCTCAGATCAGAGCCTTAAGTAACAACAGGAACTAGCTGGAATTTAGGGATTTTCTGTTTACACTCTATTTGTTCTAATGGCTTCCCTCTGTCTTAGTTGCCTAATGGTGCTGTCAGAGAAATACCACAAGTGTATGGCTTTACAGAACAGAAGGTTATTTTCTCACTTCTGGAAGCTGGATGTCCACATCACGGTCTCTGCAGTATTGATTCTCTCTTGTTGGTAGTCCTGGGTGTTTCTAGGTTCCTTGACTTGTAAACCATCATCACACAACATCTTTCTTCCCTGATGAGTATGTCATCAAGAAGGATCAATCACTAAAGGAGGACATTATGTTTGGTGAAGTAAAGTCCCGACAAGGGTGGGGGACAAAGGTGTGTATGTGTCTCTTTGTTTAATCTACTCTTTTTATAACTTAGAAGTGATTAGATTTAGAGCCCATCCTACTCAGATATGATCTAATTAACATAACAAATAAAATCCTATTTTTAAATAGGATTACATCCATAGGAATAGGGGTTAGAATTCTAACACATAAGGGAGAACACAATTTAATTCATAACATCTCTGTTTATGAAAAGTAATGTTGATTTCTATTCATGATAGTGATCTCATGTTTTCCTTTCTAAAATATATTTTAAGTTGAAAACAAAAAATTGAGATTGTTTAAGGAAAACTTTCATATAAGTAATAAGGCAGATAAAAGGTAGCTGTGACAAAAGTCAGGAAGGTAGGTCTTGAAAAATGCAAATTTGGAAGATGCTGATCTTACCCAGCCTTCTCATTTTTATAAGGAAGGAAAGCAACTGGCTGAAAGTTTAAGTGGTACAAATTTGAACTTTGGAGTTAGATACATCTGAACTTAACTCCTGGGCCTGCCATTCTATCTATCTACCTATCTATCTATCTATCTATATATATATTTTTTGCCGATGTTTTATCATTTGTAAAATGGAGATATAGTCCCTACATCAAGTCATGCTGAAAATTAAATTCTACAATGCATACATAATCAAGCACAATTCCCAACACATTAGATACTTAAATATGAGTCCTCCTTCTCCCCATCCTGACCTTTGCATTGGTCTCAATTGCCCTCCATTGTAAGCCTACTTCCTATGCCTAGGGCCATACCTCTGGGCTTGCTGACCACTATTTTCTGTTTGTGTTAAAGACCAACATTGGTCCCTCAACAGTGTCTTGCCTTCCTGGCTGACTTGTTGGTGGTGATGAGTCACGTCTGTGACCAAAGTTGCCAGGGTCCTCCTTCTTTCCGACCCTTGCCTGTGGCCCCTCCTGTCCCAGCCCATAGTACCATCTCTTGGGATGATTGCATGGTTACCCACTATATTCCTCACAGTGAGCTTTTTATGGCCCAGGGATCTCCCACCAATCATCTGTGGCTCCATAAGGAACCTCCATTTCCCAGGATTCCTGAATAGACTTTCTGCCCACCTGCCACCTTTTCCAGACTATCAATGGCTTCTTGTGGAAGTAGCTAACAAAATGGAAGCATCCACATGCCTGGTCACCAGCCTGGGCACAAGAGCAGCCTTCAGGTCCAAGCCAATTAGACCAGGTGCACTAAGCAAGGGGCCAAATGGGTAAGGAACAGTATCTTAGGCTGGGTTAGGTTGAAGTAAAACTAGTGAAACCTTAGAGAGAGGGGGAGAGAGAGAGAGACAGACAGACAGACAGATTTATCTCAAGGAAATGGCTCATGCCATTGTAAAGGTTGGCATGTCCTAAGTCCATGGGTCAGATGTCAGAGTGGAGATTTCTCCTGACTCACTCGCATAGCTGCAGGATGAACATAAAATCAACAGGTCAGATGGCAAGCTGCTGGTTGTGGAGCCTGATGAATCCAAGATCAGCAGATAAGATGGCAGGCTGATGGCTCACAGAACTTCACAGAGCATATCCATACTGATTTATTACAACCAAAAAAGATACAAATTAAGAGACAGATAGGGTGCGGTCTGGGAGTGTCCCTGACACGAAGCTTCCATGTCCCAAATATGGTCTTTCTACTCTCTCTGTAGGAGCTCAGTAACGTAGTGCCTAAGTCACTTGACTGCTAACCAGAGGCTGGTGGTTCAAACCCACCAGCCACTCCTCAGAAGGATGGGGCAATCTACTTTCATAGTGATACTGCCTCAGAAACCCAAGGAGGGGTCGCTATGAGTTGGATCTGACTCGATGGCAGTGAGAAAGAGAGAGACTCTCTCCATGTATGATCACCAACCAGAAAGGTCATCTGAGCCTTAGGGTTCAGGGCTCTTAGTAGCCTCACCATGCAGCCATGATAAATTATATCATGCCTCCTGAGGCTTTGTCAGTTTGGAGCCCACATGGTCCCTTTTAATCAGGCGAGTCCCCACTCATTAACCAGGTGTTGATTTGGCTAGAAGGAACCAAGAACAATGACCATATCACTTGTTGCAAGGTGATTCCACACCTCACAATATCAAGTAAGGCATTCAACATAAGATCCCTGGAAGGATCTCCAAGAGATATCAAGCCACACTCTCTGGGGCCTGGCTGGCACTCCCAGCACCTCCTGGGACATACTCAGTATATTCTCGAGCCTCAAATTATTCCTTCCTTTCCACAACCCCCCTCCCCAACAAAGCCTGACTACTATGGCAGCCCTATTGTATAGGTTCCTAATCTCAAGGCCACTGTTTGTCCAATTTGACTTACTTAGATTATACAGTATGATCTTAAACCTGCATATCTGCTAGCTCCACAAATTTATATTTAATTGTATCTAACTACATGCAATGACTAATTCTACATATCCAATTCCTGGAAAAATGTGTCCTGCTCACTGTTTAGAGTGACAGAAGTGCCCACACGGTCAGCAACCCCTGTCAGATGGCCTGCATTAGCAGCTGGAATTGTCAGGAGAAAGGATGTTTAGCTACTCTTGATCCTGCCCAGAGCCACTGTCACATGATGATTGCTCTCAGCTCACATTCTTGGTAATTTCTCCAAAGGCTTATCTCCTCCCCTGCCCTTCTCACTGGCAAGAGTGTCATCAGAGGACATAGAGCATAGAGATAAGGAAAAGTCAAAATGTAGAAATAGGAAGTGGCTTGCACAAGCTCAGATGGAAAGACTAGGCAAGAACACTTTATAACAGAACCTGAAAGTGGATCCCTTTACCTGCAGCTTTTCCTAATAAATGTCCCTAGTAGCTTCAAATGGACAGAACCTTAAGCTTCATTCATAGAGGGTTCTAGATTTTTCCACCTTAATGGTTTTAGCTTCTGCTTGAAATACTTACTGAGCCAGGATAACTCCTGCCACACTCTTTGTTGCTCAGCCTGACCCATTCTCATGGTTCTATCTTCAGTCTTTAGTTATTCTAGTCCTGTACATATGGGTTTCTTGGCTTTAAATAGAAATATAACTTCCAAAACATAAAAGGGGAAAAATGTAACAAATTAAATTTCATCACTCCAATGAAGAACAGAAAATGGGGAAAGGAAAAAATAAGAGAGAAGGGTAAATATATAACAAAAAAAATGAATAAACCAGATGGTAGGAACAGGTACAAACCTATAGTTGCAATAAATATGTATAGGTTAGATTCATCTGGCACTTAAAAGATAGAAAGTGGAGATTGGCAATA